ATTTCTTATTATTATAGGAATCAATGTGCAGAATGTGTTGTTACCCCTGAGGATTTGAATGAATACCTCATTGCCAGTAAAAAGTGTATTCGGTTCTCTACATTCACCTGAAACCTGCAGCATTATTCTGCTCTTTCACGCGGGTATTCTGTGAGAGCGTGGTTCTAACCCGGTCAAGGCGACCCATTCGTGCTACAACCGTAATATATTACGGTATATAATTATGGAGGAGCCATGCTGCACTATAGTGCTCCTCCATGCCGTAACATATAAACACGTGGTATTTACATGAATAGACTGTAACCACAATTTAAAGAGAGTCTAACTGTAACTTAGCTAACAGCATGCTCAATGTTCTCAATAACGTCTCCCAATGGATAGTCTTAAAATTAACATGAACAAAACAAAGATCATATGTAGCGTTCATATCACACTTACGCCTGTCCTTTTTGGGAGCACTACGTTCGAAGTTGTCCACTAACATGTTTACCTTAGGCAAATATTCCGACTAGGTAAGTTTAACTTCGATCGAGAGGTCAACAACGGATACAAGTTGGCTAGGTAGCGTTCGGGAGATTACGAATTAAAACAAGAAACCTAGATTGTACAAACAGTACATATTACCAGTGATGATATGGATCTCAGATCTCGGTCCTTTACTGCTAGCCTTATACTTAGAGAGCACAAGGTCGTTTAGCGAGCTTATCAAGCATGCATGCAGGTAGGTAAAACCTATTTTTGGGGTGTCTAACGTTCACTGGTTTATACTTAACGTGAGCATTTATTATTTTTGTTAAAGCGGGACGTCTCTTACGGAGTTATGATAAATAAAAGTTTTTGGTGGTTTACATGTTTTTTTTTTTGTTATAGAAGGTAATAACAATAATAAAAAATAATCAAAGCACTTATTACAAAATAATTAAGTAGGTTGCTCTAGGAGTGGCGTGACTTCTACGTAGTATTTTTGTATTTGTTGGCTAAACAAATTAGTTTTAAAATATCGGTTCTGGTTTTTAGGTAAATATGGAGCTCAGTACAGGATTTATTTATATTTATTTTTGTGATTAAAATGGCTTTCACTACTGCTACACTTAACTGAGTTTTGTCACTGGTCCATATTTTGTTCATTTGAGAAAAGGCAGACACATAATGTACTCAATAATTGTACAAAAGTTTGTTAAGTGGAGATTGTTGGCACCATAATTCAACCCAACGGTTTTCAGCAGCAATATTCTCATCATTCCAGCCAGTGAGTTTTTCATCTGTCGTAAAGTTGGAAATAAACGAAAACTCGTTAAAGACTTTAGTATCTTGGCTGCTGCTGCGAGTGGGATCTATCTATCCATCTCGATCCTATTGTCGCGTGTCAGCGCGGCGCTCCTCCACAGCCGCGCCGCGCCACGCGTTGCGAGCGGGAAAAATAAATTTTTAATTATCGTTAGGTCTGTTTGCGAAAGCGGGACCATTTCGCTCTCGCTGGGGACAGCGGGACACACAGCCTGAAAGCGGGACTGTCCCGCCCAAAGTGGGACGTATGGTCACGTTATTTTTACTACTTGTACGTTTGTTGTATGTATGTGTATAATACATCATATGAATACTTACTTATGGTAAAGTTATTGTAAATATTGTAATTTAAAAAAATTATTTTAGATGTTCATAAAACTCGTATGTCTTGTGTATTTTCACTTCCATTTTGTATTAATAGAAAACTATAAAAATTTAAGGTGTAGTGCCACCATTATAGATGGTTTCTGGAAGACATAATTATTATTATTATGGATCTTAGGCGTGGTTCTCCACTGCTGGTCATATGAGGAACCTCAAGGTATCTCAATGAGCTACGGTGAGGGCTATGTTTAAAGTTTGTCTGTGAGATAGACTTTAAAATGAGGATATCCGCAGTAGAACCTGAGTAACCGACATAACCCAACGGATCAATAAGCTGATGTAGTATTGAGCCGGCCATATATTGGAAAAAGAACCAACCATCGATGCAGGAGAAAGGTTATGGAGTATGGTAAGTGTAGGAGCGGTTCCTTAACTAAATGAAGTGACGACCTGATAAGAGATGCACGAACTCGATGCATGCAGCTGATTTATAACCGTGTTTTGAACAGTCATGGGCTGGAATAATATGTTGATATATTATATGTTGATTATTTTTGACGTAAAGGATGAATTTTATTAGTAAGGTAACTGCGGGTATTAAGGTCTAGCTAAGAGAAAATCGAAAATAAAATCAGAAATATCTGATTTGGTCTACAGATTTTAATAAAAATCATTAGTTTAGTACAGTTCCTATAAAGTATGAACGAATAATTGTAACATTTGCCATATAGAAATACAAAATTAAACATTTCTAAAAACCTTGCTAGTAGGCCTTATATTACTATGGTAGGGTAATAAGGCCTACTGCTTTAACGAACTTAAATAATCAATTTATACGTAATATATTTAATATTTGTGATCAATAATCATATGAATGCAGCAATTAAGACTTAAAATTCTAACAAAATACATAAATTGCCTCGTATAACAGTAATTAAAGTCATTAGTAAAATGATAAACAAACTGACAAACAAACTCACTCTTCGTGATTATCATCAGTGTGTCGGTTGTGTCAAAAGTTGAGTTGAGTGTTAGGTGGAGTTGAGAATTGGGTTTATTGTTGGATTGAGTATCCTCCCAACCAAATTTCTGTCACAGCGGCCAGTCTCAACGGAGACTAGCCCATTAGAACAGTACAGAATTTTAGTATCCGAATGTATACGCAAGCACATGTGCTACTACACTATCTAATCCCTCACAATCATCAAATCGCAATCCGACACGGTCCGAGAGAGCTTAAGCGCAGGACCAATAGTTTACACATAATTTAATAGCCTTAATTCTTCGACACACTTTGTCTTTGCACTGTTTTGGACAGCTGAAACCAGGCCTTTTTCTGACTACGACACGACACTAGTTTAATAATCGAAGCGTACGATTTATTTGCATTTAAAACATTTTAAAAGTGATATAAAATTCATAATAAAACAAAAAACTACACAAGAAAAAGGAGTATAATAAGGCCTATGGTGAAATTTAGGTTTTAATGACCGCCGACCAAGTATTTAAGAAAAACTAAATTAAAAAAAATTGATCACAATACGTGACTCAAATCTTCAAGATCAACAAAGCATTTATTCATAAAGATAAAGATTACGATTTTAGAGAGCTAAGTGTAATTTTACAAAACATACCTACGATTTATTTGGAGTGATTTTTATTATTGGTGCACTGCAGTCGTATCTTATGATAGATAATGCAACTCTAGTGGCAGGACGCGGGGTAGTGCGTCTCTGGAAACTTGTAGAGACATTATCGTGCAATAGGAGTCTGCTATTATCTCCTTAAGCGAGTGCGGTTATTATAAATATGATTTGTAATTTAGGTCTTATTAGCCACAGGCACCTTACTGCGATCATGAAGATAGTAATATATACGTATAAGTAGTGTATAATCAGCGTGTTGTGGCCACTGAGTAGTGGCGGTAGAATATCATCCCGTGGGTGTCGTAAGAGGTCGATACGACTGTATATAAGTAAAAGATGGTCAGTTGCGTCTTCCTGATAAAAAATACGTTGACAAACCGTCAGCCATACAGCCGTTCAGCAGCAGACTTTGATAAGCTTACGGTAACGGTAAATGAAATATAATATACTATTTTATTTATTTTATTTTATTAGTATTGGTACAAAATCATAAATCTTTAAACGTTGTATTTTCAATATGTTTAAAATGCTAATATTTATTATTAAACAAATAAATAAAATTGAAGTGTCTTATAAGAATTAGGATTCCGCGCAAAAAATGAAAAACCCATGAAATCCAGTCGTAATCCAGACGCGAGCGAAGTCGCGGAAATGGCTAGTTTATTTATAAATGTTAAGAACTTTTTAATTTCAAATCAAAACAAATAAGAAAAGGCCCGGAAATGGATGTGGTGGATGCGATCCGAGATTCCAACACAATAAATTTTCCATTTTATGACTATTTGCATACTGTTGAATTGTATTTATTAAGTAAGCTTAATCAGTTAGGTATCTAATATGGACTAGCCGTAGAAAGAAATTGATTTTTAAAGCTTACGAATGTACATAAGCAATACACAGCAATTCTTTTAAAAACAATAGAATCGGATTCTAGAGACTAGAAAATATGTAAGGTGCGTGCAGAAGGTTTGCCGTTGATAACCCCTCCCACTTCCGCTGACCGCATCGACCTCGTCGCCAAACCTTTTGAGCTGTATCCTTAAGGCGCGGTGAATAGACACTTTTATGTATTTGTCGGGGTGAAGCAGATGAAGTAAGGGACGAGTAGTCCCGCCCACTGCGGGGTGCACCGCGTGAATCTCGCCGACGCTCGACGTAAAATGTACAATTGGTCCAGCGCGCCGCTGTCCGCATTCGCACCGCGTTCCCGCGATGACTGGTGGTTCAAATCCCATCATACGTATATTTTGTATTCGTATTTTTAAAATGTTTTTACATTTATTTTCGTATTTAAAATATGTATATATTTTTGTTTTCTTATTTTAAAATATGTACATATTTCATTTTCTTAATTTTAAAATAATCAATAATTGTTATTTTCTAGAACAAGTTATCGAGAAATTTTTTAACAGATTCATCAAATGAATAATAAATTAATTCTTAAATAAAATAACTTTGGACTAGAATGGTCAATCATAGAAATAGCCTATTCTCGAAACGGCAAATTATAAAAATTGTGAATTTATAAAACAATCATTTTTATTCCTATATACATATTTTCCTTCAGAATCAAGAGTAAAATAAATTATTATGAACAAATTTTACTATAGCCCTAAAATAAAAAAAAACAGTTGTTTCATATTTTTTTCCCGAGTAAATAAAACTGTTGTGTAAATAAAAATGCCTGGTTTGACTATATACGGCGCCTTAAATGTGCAACAACTTCCAAATTCTGCATCTAAATTAATTAGACAGTTTATAAAATAAAGAATTAGGTTTTAGGCCTGTATTATCTAGTGGATAATTAAAAATGTTGGCTAGTGATACTTTAACATTGAATAGGAAGAAAGCTATTCTTGGATATTGTTTCATCACATTTATGCTAAATAGAAACATTGCGTTAAGAAATTTTCTGCCAAATTTTGTAGTGTATAACGATGTGAAAAACGAATTTAATGCTAATTTACATTTGGAAATTAAAGGAAGTTGTTTGTATTCAGGTACTGTTTTAAATGAGTCGTAGTCACGAACGAAGAGAAGGCGCTTGTGCCCAGGTAAATCTCCGACAGCTGACTTTGATATTAAATGTGTTGAGTCCACGCCTGTAATAAAAAAATAATATGTCAAAACTTACAAAGAATCTAATTGGACGTAGGTATACAAAAACGTTTCAACCCACAAGTTATTCAAAATTAAGTTCTTCTTCTTCTTCTTCTTTACTTTATGGCTTCTCTTAAAAGAATTCTGCCAATGTCAAGTCAGCCATGGGAGTGACAATCAAAAATGAGTTAAATATACAGATCTACTTATTTTGACATCTTCGCGAAGAGCTGATATATTGAGATATTTAACTCATTATTGAATGACTTGTGGGTTGGGACGTTTTTGGATAATTACTTCCAATTATTTTCTGGTTAATATAATACATATAAAATTTTAATAGGTCGCGAGTAAGTTTTTCTAGCTATACGTAACTTTAAATTATACTACATAAAGTAACTTTTATTTTTACAAATTTTTTATTTCTTTAAGGACAGCCAGAGGCAATTACAATAATACATGTTCACAAAAAATAATATATGAGCTTAATTTTTAAATGTAAAACCTATTAAGGCAGCCACAACACGCTTCATAAGAAGAGTAAGCACTTTATAACATAAATTACAAAATATTAGAAACATAACCTAAAATAAATCAAAAACCGAGAAATAACAAAAAATATAAAAAATATATACATAAACTAATAAACTGAGACTCGTTAAAACAATACAAGGGGAAATTCACAATAACCATTTAAACCAAATAACAAAATTAATGCATATGGAACTCTTAAATATTATCTCTTAAGTTCCGTAGCACTGTTTTTTTTAAAAGAGAACAAAGAATTGCTAACAATGTCCACAGAACTTATGAATGCTCTGAATATTTATTTCAAATTTAGAAGATTATTAATGAGTTAAGCCTGGGATGAATAAAAAACATTCAGCAGAGTTTATAAATATATATCAAATCTAAATTATGGACTGTGGAGTAGTATAACAAGTTCTCATTACAATGGCATCTGCTAATGGAATACCCCATCCCTATTTCTACCGCCGAGCACGAGTTCATTAATCACCAAGTAACGTGCTTGGAATACCGCTCTTCCTTATTTATTGATGCGATTTTCAACTGGTCGTAGGGCTTCTTGTTTGGCTAGAAGTCCATCTGGGTAGCTATCATACTACCTCTCACCTACTTCTACCACCCAGCTAACGTGTTGGTTTGAAGTCTTTGAAGAGTTGAAGTGTCACAAAGTCAGGGCCGGCGCTACAATAGGCCGCACGGAGCGGCCGCTCCAGGCGTCAAGTCCCAGAGAGTGTCAGAGAAAAATATTTTGTCGCTTACGATATTTTCATTACGAGCGTTTTGTTAGTATGGTATGTGAATGACCTTATCTGTTGAAATGTACGCGGGCATTACTGTTCTCAATCGACAAATTATATAGTAGCTTAATATGATTGTCGGGCACTTCCAAGTTCCAAGAGCCAAGAACCCGCCATTATTGGATGTCGCTCCATCCTAAAATTTGCCTCGAGACGACACTGCACAAAGGTGACAACGAATTTGTGACTTTAAATACGATTCTAATAAGTAAGGTACGCGAGGGTATTCTAGAGTCACTTTAAGATTTATCGCCCTATAAAACTAAAATTTGGAGGAGGACAGAGATAAACACAAAGTCGTATACTATAATTAACATATTAAGAAAAAAATAGCAAACAAGCTTTGGCAATAATTAAAACACTTAGAATTTTCTACTATAAAAAAAAATTACTACACTACACAATACAAAAATCGACAAAAATATATACTATAATATAAACTGTCAAAATGGCGTCGATAAAGCAGCGCCTTTTCAACTCTTTACTATTTGATAGACAGATGAAGAGCTATTGTATCACAGAGAAAAGCATACATGGCTGTAGTTATTGAGTTATAAGAAAGTGACCATATTAACCGGATGACCATATTACACTTACATACCATAAAAAATAATTCTTAAAACTGGTGGATGTGTATACAGACTGCAATAGCCACTTATTACTAGGTGGATTATTATATCTTTTATCATTCTCGTTGCTACAAGTCTCACTCGTTGTGCCCTCTAACTAGTTAAATTTTTGTACTATTTTGTTAACTCAGTAAACAGTAACAGTGTTAAATTAACAATGTCGGAGCCAGCATTTAGGACTGTTTGCGTACTTCCTAAGCAATATAAATGACACAACCAGAAGTCTCAGAAGTGGTGGTGGGGCTATAGATTTTATTGTATATTTATATATAAAGCAAGTACTCCTACTCCCAAGGCGTAGTCCCGAATTCATGGAAGACAGCTTTTGTCCACCCGATCCCTAAAAAGGCGACCGCTCAGACCCATCCAACTATAGGCCTATCGCGATCACCTCCTTGTTCTCCAAAATAATGGAATCCATTATTAACTGCCAGCTCATCCGGTACCTTGAGGATCACCAGCTGATTAGTGACCGCCAATACGGTTTTCGTCGGGGTCGATTAGCTGGTGATCTTCTGGTCTACCTGACCCATAGATGGGCGGAGGCAGTAGAGTCCAAGGGGGAGGCGTTGGCCGTTAGTCTGGACATTGCGAAGGCCTTCGATCGGGTTTGGCACAAAGCGCTTCTTTCAAAGCTCCCTTCCTATGGGCTTCCCGAGAAATTGTGCCATTGGATCACCAGCTTCCTTGCAGATCGGAGCATCAAGGTCGTTGTAGATGGTGCATGCTCTGACTACAAGCCTATTAACGCTGGTGTTCCACAAGGCTGTGTGCTATCACCAACGCTGTTTCTTCTGCATATCAATGATATGTTGCTAACTGGTAACATTCATTGCTATGCGGATGACAGCACTGGTGATGCTCTATACACCGGCCGTGCCAATATTTCTCGGGAAAACGTCGCCGAGTACCGGAACAAACTTGTGTCTGAAGTCGAGTCTTTGCTGAACAAAGTCTCGGATTGGGGGCGACTAAATCTAGTCCAGTTTAATCCTCAGAAGACACAAGTTTGCGCGTTTACCGCTAAAAAGAACCCCTTTGTCGTATCTCCTCAGTTTCAAGGCACTCCCCTTCTTGCCTCAGCCAGTATCGGTATCCTCGGAGTCGACATATCGAGTGACGTGCAGTTTCGTGGTCACTTGGAAGAGAAGGCCAAATTGGCCTCTAAAAAGCTTGGCGTGCTCAGCAGAGCGGGACAGTATTTCATGCCGGCACACCGCCTGCAACTTTACAAGGCGCAGGTTCGGCCTCACATGGAATACTGTTCCCATCTCTGGGCAGGGGCTCCCCAGTGCCAGCTCTTGACCGCATCCAGCGCAGAGCGGCTCGAATCGTCGACGACCGAGCCCTTTCCGATCGGCTCGATTCATTGGCACTGCGAAGAGATGTTGCATCCCTTTGCATTTTCTTTCGCATCTACCATGGGGAGTGCTCTGAGGAATTGTTCGGATTAATCCCAGCCGCCAAATTTCACGAGCGCACATCGCGGCAGAACACCCGATACCATCCACACCATCAGGATGATTGGCGGTCCAGCACTGTGTGATTAAGAAGATGTTTTCTTCTTCTCACAACTTCCTTGTGAAATCGATTACCATCAGCGATTTTTCCGAATCGATACGACTTAAGGACCTTCAAGAAAAGAGCCTACTCCTTTTTAAAAGGCCGGCAACGCATCTGCAATTCCCCTGGTTGACCTGGTGATCCAGTTGTTCATGGGCGGCGGTAGTCACTTACCATCAGGTGAGCCACATGCTCGTTTGCCCCCTCTCCTATAAAAAAAGAAAAAATGTACATACATGTATACCGTGTACCGCCATATGTCGGAAAACTTAAAGTATCTTTACTTTTCCATAGAGTCCTCATATAGTGTGACTTAATAATATGTAGTGCGATGTTCTCATATATATTAAAAATGTTCTAATGCTAACCTATTTCATCAGAGGAGCCGTTTAACTTTTTCCTCAATAAACTCTGAAATTCTTTCCTCTCATCTTCTGTATATACGTAGCCGGGTACATCAGTTAAATACTTAGTCCAATACAGCAATGATGGAGTGTCAACTGTGGGATTGCTTGATGACACTCCTTCCAGCATTATGCGCGCCATATACTCGAAGTACTCTGGTGGATCGTTTAGACAAGGCGTGTACACACGTTGGACAATTAACCGACACACTTGGCGCGTCTCTTCGATTGTCCTTTGACAAATGTTATACCTGAAGTTAGATAAAAAATGTTAAATTAGGATTAACAATAATATAATACTTATATATTTTACACACATTTTTATTTACAGTAGCGTTATGATAAAGGTTCCGGATTGTGAACTAAAAGTCGTGAAATCGAATCCACCGTTTTGAGAGTACTGTCGTGAACCCCTACTAACACAGGTATAAGCATTTAAGCTTATTTGCTTTAACATGAGTGTTAGTAATGTTAATAGCGATACTAGTATAGTATATACGTGGTAGAGCCACGCTGCAGCTATATTGTATTTGAAGCACGAATGCGTCGGCTCGACCCGGGTAGGACCACGCTCTCACTGAATACCAGCGTAAAGTAGCTGTTTAATGCTGCTATGTTTCGTAGGGTGAGTGTAGAGAACCGGAGACCCTTTATTACTGGAAACGAGGCATTCCATCTCAGTCCTCAGGGGTGACAAGCCATCTGCATTTTGATTCTTAATTGAGGATAAATGTACATCATCCATTTACCATCAGGTGGAATGTGTAATCGTTTATCATCCTTATTCTATAAAAAAAAATAGTATCCTTTGGAAAAAAGAAGCCATCTAATCCGGAACAATCATTTGTAGGCCTTACAAGTATTTGCTTATAATATTACTGTGTCCTGATCATGAGCGCCGGCTCGTCTTGTTTTTACCCTAAGGCACGAATTTTGCCAAAATCATAGGTATCTGCTACATAATATGGTCAATCTAGATAACGTTAGTAATAATTAAGGCAACATACTGCAAAATTTTAAAACTTGTGGGTTTAGAATTGGAATTAACTACTTTTTTTTTAATTTTTTTTTGTATAAACACACTGGCCCAGAAGAAACAGCACGTATAAAAAAATATAGAAAGAAGAAAAACAAAAGACACTATCAGTTGCTTAATCATTGTAAAATAACACAAACGTAAACTTTTCTTAAAACGCTGTGTTTGGAAATTTTATGACCATCCCATCGAGTTTGAAGTTTTGATAAAGTCCTAACAGATTTATTTGCTTCATGGTTGCTCAAAGAAAATTTTGGTAATAAGTAGTGATTGCCGTATAGTGGCGGTTAAGAATATCCACTACCCCATATCTTTCCGTGGGTGTCGTAAAAGGCGACAAAGGGAAACAGGCAGGAGCTGTGCAGCAGCATCTTCCTGATAACAACAAACTTACAATAAGAAAACTGCGGTTGCCAACCCGCTCGCCAAGCATGGCACCTATGGCAAATACCCTCCTAATATGAGAGTAACAAAGAAACGGCCCCCAGTCCCCGGCGGCCCCGCTATTCCTGGCTACGGTGGCAACCATGGAAACGGCGGGGCAGGGGGTGCTAAGAATCTCCGGTGGAGGTTCAGTTGCCACCTAAGACGACTCGACCTGGCAACATACAACGCACGCACCCTGAGGACTGACGAGAAGATCGTGGAGTTGGAAGAAGAGGTAGACAAGTTACGCTGGCATATTATAGGATTATCCGAAGTCTGAAGAGAGGGGGAGGAAACGGTAATCCTCGAATCCGGCAACTTGCTCTATCACCGAGAGGGCGACCATCTGTCCCAAGGAGGTGTCGGATTTATCGTCCGCAAGTCTCTCGTTAACAACGTTGTAAAGATTGAGAGTGTGTCGACGAGGGTTGCGTACCTTATACTCAGAATCACTAAACGGTATTTGCTGAAGGTCATACAGGTTTACGCACCAACCTCGGCACACCCCGATGAGGAGGTGGAGGAAATGTATGAAGATATCTCTAGAGCCATGTATTTCTCCAAAACCCAATACAAATACGGTATTAATGGGAGACTTCAATGCAAAACTAGGCACAAAAGAAAACGGTGAGCTGAAAGTAGGGAAATTTGGAATAGGGCAACGGAACCCAAGGGGCCAGCAGCTGGCCGACTTCATGGAGAAAGAGGGACTCTTTATGATGAACTCTTTCTTCCAGAAGCAGCCCCACAGGAAGTGGACCTGGTCGAGCCCCGACGGTTCCACAAAAAATGAGATTGAATTCATTATGACGACCAGACGACAACTGTTCAGTGATGTCGCCGTGATTGCGTGAGTGAAAACTGGTAGCGATCACCGAATGGTTAGAGGCACACTGAACCTAAACGTTAAGTTGGAGAGGTCTCGTCTAATGAAGTCAACGCTCCGTCCCCCTCGTGCTCTGTTCCAAAGTCCCGAAACCTTTCAGCTCGAGTTACAAAACCGTGTTCAGTGCCTGGAAGACTGCAATGAAGTGGACGATATGAATGACAAGCTCGTGGAAACTGTCCATGCGGTCGGAGCTAAGTTCTGCAAGACCCGCCGCAGAAGAACACAAAAACTCTCCGATCACACTCTTAATCTCATGGCTGTTAGACGGGAGATGAAGCTACATTCTTCAACAGACTTGACAGCATACAGGCATCTGAACAGACAGATCTCCAAATGCATGCGGCAGGACTTACGCAACTTCAATACAGCTCGTATTGAAGAAGCGATCGAGAGGAACCAAGGCTCCAAAGTCTTTGCCAGAGATCTGTCTGCCAGAAAGAGCCAACTGTCAAAGCTGAAGACAGAATGTGGCAGCATCGTTTCCGGGACACCTGAGATTTTGAGTGAGATTGAGAGGTTCTATGGGCAGCTGTACACATCATCGTTGGAGCCACACGCAAGTGTGAGTAACGATCCAAGAGCGAGTCTCATCCGACACTATTCCGAAGATATCCCGGATGTCAGTCTGAGCGAGATTAGGATGGCTCTCCAGCACCTTAAAAACGGTAAGGCCCCAGGCGAGGATGGAATTACAGCGGAGCTTCTGAAAGCGGGTGGAAGACCGGTACTTGAAGTTCTTCAGAAGCTCTTTAATTCCGTCCTCCATGGTGGCATTACACCGGAGGCGTGGAGCAGAAGTGCGGTGGTCTTGTTCTTCAAGAAAGGCGACAACGCTCGCTTGAAGAACTACAGACCGTTTTCCCTTCTGAGCCGCGTCTACGTGCTGTTTTGAGAGTCATTACGAATCGTCTCGCGCGCAGACATGACGACCTCCAGCCTACCGAACAAGCCGGTTTCCGAAAGAGCTTTAGCACCATAGACCACATACATACCCTTCGGCAAATTGTACAGAAGTCCGAAATGTGGATGAGAAAGCCGTTGCTTCCGTCGAAATTTGGGCGCTGCTGCAGTCCCTTCAGCGGTGCCAAGCCAATAAATAAATATCGAAGTGCTGAAGTGTTTGTACAGTAGAACTACGATGGCTATCCGAGTACAGAACCAGAGTATGAAACCTATCCGATTGCAGAGAGGTGTAAGACAGGGTGATGTTATATCCCCGAAACTATTCACCGCTGCATTGGAAGACGTTTTCAAGCTTCTGGACTGGAAAGGATACGGTATTAACATAAATGGCGAGTACATCACTCACCTTCGATTTGCCGACGATATAGTCCTTATGGCAGAATCGCTGGAGGACCTAAGCACCATGCTTAATGACCTCAATAGTGTATCCCAACGAATAGGTCTTAGGATGAACATGGACAAAACAAGGATCATGTTTAATGTCCATGTCACACCTATGCCGGTAGTTGTTGGGATCACTAAGCTCGAAGTTGTTGACGAGTATGTTTACCTAGGACAAATAGTCCGACTAGGTAAGTCCAACTTCGACCGAGAGGTCAATCGGCGGATTCAACTCGGCTGGGCAGCGTTCGGGAAACTACGACACATCTTCTCGTCAGACATACCCCAAAACCTTAAAACGAAATTGTACAACCAGTGCGTGTTGCCAGTGATGACTTACGGATCTGAGACGTGGTCCTTCACTGCTGGTCGTATGAGGAAGCTCAAGGTCGCTCAGCGAGCTATGGAGAGGGCTATGCTCGGGGTTTCTCTGCATGATAAACTTAGAAATGAGTATATCCGCAGTAGAACCAGAGTAACCGACATAGCCCAACGGATTAGTAAGCTGAAGTGGCAGTGGGCCGGCCATATAGCTCGAAGAACCGACAACCGGATGGGGAAGAAAGGTTCTTGAGTGGCAGTCTCGTACCGATAGGCGAAGTGTAGGGCGACCCCCCATGAGATAAAGTGACGACCTGGTGAGACATGCAGGAAGTGGATGGATGCAAGTGGCTCAGGGCCGTGCTTTGTGGCATTCCTTGGGGAAGACCTATGTTCAGCAGTGGACTTATGAAAGGCTGTAATGATGATGATGATGAACAACAGAGTTATTATGGACTATGGTACTTACTTTCATCTAACATGTTACGAGTACATACTTATCTAATACAGTTATTTAGCCGCGAGGAACAAGGACCATTTTAGTTATGATCGGCCGCCACGGTACCTCACAGGTTCGTTTTATAATTATATTATGTAGTTCTTCCTCGAGAAATTTGGCGCAAAAAATTAAAAAAATAAAAGAGACAATATGTTTTCAAAATTATTGCCATATTGCGTTACGTACCTTTCCTTAATTCCAATCATAAATCCTATGACTCGCCAAAATTGATTATATGCTTCCCAATCGCCGTCTTCCAATGTTTGTATACCAAATTTATCAGGTTTTAGAACAGTTAGACCGACGAAACCAAACTGTGTGAGAACAAGATCCCTTTGGGAAATAAGACCCTGACCTTTTACTTTAGCTGCGAGAGTCATGCGTATATGTCGACGTCGTACTTTCAACAGGGACTCCCAGGACCTGAGAAGCGTTAAAAGGAATATGAATTATGACTAAGTCAAAAAAGAAACCAGCACAACTGATAAATTGCCTAGTCAAAGGTTATTTGGACGAAGCCAACATTTAAGCCAGAACGCAAATTGTCGGTTCTAAAGTCTGTTTATATTGTACTATCCTTTAGTCTTTGACACAGTAACATATATCCAATTGATTGACCGTTATTTAGGCACAAAAAGGTTAGGGCAAGTGCCTGCAGCTGAAATTATGACCGTATGATATCTCGTGAGCCCATTATAGCTTCTGATTCAGGAAGCTGTCGATAGTAAATCATCAAATTATCACCAACAACTAAAATCAAAGAGTTTTAGAATTGGAGCACTTATAAAGTACCATTTACATGACTGAGACGTGGGATAACATACCAGATGAAGGTGCATAACCATTGAGAATTCACAATATCGCCAACGTCACTTTCTTTTTATTCTATTCGTTAAATTCTATTCGTTAAATTCTATTTTATCTTTCAAATTCTGTTCTTTTATATTATATTATATTATACTCTACTCAACTTTAATCTACACTTCTCTATTCTACTCTAATTTATTCTACTATGTTCTACGCTACTCTACTCTACTCTATTCTATTTTAGTCTGTTTTATTCTATTCTATTCTTACCAGCTGCCGGGCTTAAGGTCTGATTCAAACCATGAGATTGCATGTAGAAATGTGGACACATATCGTTTAAATGCAGGATATACGTCATCGGAGCGACGAGCACCTACAAGGATCCTCAGTATTGAAGGCACTGCAAGAACATTCACCATACCCAATAACATTGCTGAAGTCAGTCCGTAACAGTTGTGCCAGTAAAATCTCCGAGCTCTGAAAAGACGAACATTAATTAGTTATTTAATGTATTGTTGTGCTTTTTGAATTCTTTTTTTTATATTTTTATTGCTAAACCATTAAGTTATATGTACTAAGTAGTACATATATATCGACGTTTTCAACAAAGAACATGGATATGGCATAACTATATTCGTCCGCATTTTCTTTTAAGAAGACATGGAGTAACTATGTACATAAGACAAAAATGCAATATGTATTAGAAAACGGAATCCGTTGCCATTACACCCTATTTAGGTCCACTACAATCACCTAAGTGTTCGCGCCACTTTTCAACTACCGCCTAACGCTTATGTGATTCGTTAACAATTATCCAATATGAAACAGTACTAGAAATAGTCCATTTCCGAGTTTCCTATCTACCACCTTTATTCCTTTGCATGTGCACTCTTATGTTAACGGGGTTCGCATGATATCAGGAGATACGAAAGCAACCGCATCGCTTCTATCTCGCGTCATCACTTCCACTTTTATGTAATGTAATTTACTACAATAGCGCTATGTTTCGCGATTATCAGTGAAATTTATATCTGTGAAGACAGCAAGCGACGAATCATCGTGACTGTAGCCCCTGCAACATGAGGCAGATCTGCATAAGTCCAGATGAGTGCACATGCATTCCTTCACATCTTTCCTGTAGCCCGAATTTAGGGCATTTGCAGTATTGAGAAATAGTAAATTCGCACCGAACCATATAGTCTATAGTCTAGTATAGTCCTGCTAGTCCATATAGTCTAGTAATTTTATTTCATTTTATTTGGAAGACCAACAGCTTTATGATAGGTTACATAATATTAATAACTACAGTAAGCCAATTAAAGGTCCTCACTAATAGATACAAAGGTGAATTTACAACAGTGATAAACACGATTCAACACTCAAGAGTATCCAATACTAACATACTTATGCCAAATGAGGGCTTATCTGATATAACATGTATTATACAAAATTTGTAATTTACGTATAATCATCTTTTTAATAATTTTGAACCAGCAGTTGGTCATTTAACCCAACACACCATTTTTGACCCTTTTCGCTGAATTATTTTTTATTATTTAATTAATTAATTAACCATTTTTTGGTCACTCCGACCGGGATAATGTTAACCAATAAAAAATAAATTTAATCTTTCGGCCTGAAGAAGAAATCTTTTATATATCGATTTCTTTATACACTACAAACATATATACGTATATATTATAAAATTATATTAGTTATAATTATATTAATTACAAGTTATATTACTCCCGCACCGCTGTTCCGTACCTCACTACATCATTATTAGTTTAATTATATTTTTCTTTTTTATTAACAGCCACTACGCGAGATAGCTTCGTTTAGCAGTACGGCTAATTCTACCGTCACTTATCACAATAATATTTAGTTCCCATTTGTTTGTTTAAAATGACGACGAGAAGCAAAGAATCTAAACTGCCCGGAGGCAGGAAGTTGGCGGTGTCTCATGAGGCCGTGCCTCGAAAAGAACGTAAAGCAATTGGTCCTGCGCTTAATCTCTCTACGGTCGTGTTGGTTTACCGTCCCATCGGACTATGGTGAGGGAATAGTGAGTGCAGTTGTACTTGCGCATACTTGGACACTATAATCCTGTCTTACGCCGATGGCTATTCTCCGTTGAGGCTGACTGCCGCGCCGTCACCGAAATTCGGTCTGGAGGACTGTTATTATTATACACAACTACTACTACTATACATAATATGTATGTCCGTATGTAAGCTCGTACCTTCTAGATGAATCGTCGGATTTTAAACATAATATCTTAGTTAATTCACCGTTACCGTTACTGTTAAGGTCTACTGCAAACTTTCTTATCTCGCTCAATTCGCTAGAACCTATGCTTTGTTTAATTTTTGACCCAATTGCTCGCAAATTGAATGCCGTGCATTCGTTCGGGAACGCTGATAAATATTTTAATAAATATACTTCACCAGTTCTAAGAAATACCTTTTGACATTAACACAGACAATCTGTCTATGTCTGCGGTGCGGCACAATGTGGTTGACGTTTAGCCATGTTTCATAAATGAATATAACGTTGTCCCAATTGGTTAGATATATTTTGAATTTCTCGTAAAAATGTTATTCTTTGAATTCATGTCTCTAAATTATTATTTTACGTTTGTCAATATATTTGTATCGGAAGTCAATCATATGGTTCTCAGAAACTCTATATTACTATCATGGTACAAGCCGGCATCCTCTAAACTTACTCACAACTTCGCCACAGTGGGATACACAGAAATAATAAAAAATTGACTTGTTTAGTTCATAATTAATTTATTATATGCAACTATAAAAAGAAAATTTAAATAATACATTAAAATGTAAAGGTTTGATTATTTGTGCATTATTCACATTGGCATGAATTTGAATAAATCAAACACTACGTTAAGGTGCATAACGACATAATTGAAACGATGTCCAGCATAAAAGTTGGTTCGAGTATTTTTTTTATATTTTGCTTTGTTTGAAAGATTTCAATTGAAATAAGTGGTAAAGAACTACACATGTAATGAAATATAGATCTTCATAATTCTTTGGATTTACGTAAAATGTTATCTACCGACTTCAAAAAGGAGGAGATACTCAATTCGACTGTATGTTTTTTTTTAGGTGTGTTACCTCATAACTTTTTTCTAGGTGAACCGATTTCAATTATTCTTTTTTTGTTTGAAAGCTGGTGCTTTTCATCTGGTCCCATACATATTTGATCAAGGTCTTACCAATAGTTTATAATAGTTATCCTTAATAATTTATAATGAATTCCGTTATACAATTTTTTTTATTTTAAATTATTTTAAATTGAGTGAGTACGATTGTACAAAGTTATTGCAGAATCATTGTGAAACGTCAAAAGATATTTCTTACATTTGGTTGAGTAGGTATAATGACTCCATGCCGACCTGGGTTAGAGCATTGTATTTCTCCAACTCCATAATACAAATAGTAAAAAGAAACTAACTTTGACAGTTTCAATTAATATTCATTATTTATTAATAAATAATGAAGAAGTACAGGTTGCTATTATATTTTTTTAATATTATAAAACATACTATGACATAATACTATACATAGAGGTGACGACAGCAACCTTTTTATTAAAGTTAGTTGCGGCTTTAGATGTTCATGGACTGCAGAAGCCACTTACCATCTGGTGGACTGTATGTTCGTTTGTCCGTCATCCGTCTGCCATAGTCCGTTTGTCATACTTACCGAAATTAATATCTGTTTTATCACTCTTAATGTTAATATTTATATCTCCTATTATAATTATGTTTTAATGTTTCGAAGATTTCAGCAGTACACTATCTAAAGAGACAAAAAAGTTTTCTAAGTTTTTATATGACGGTGACCTATATATTGAGATCATAACAATATCATTCAATGTTGTTATCACACAATTCCCTTCTTGAAAATGAGGATCCTCAGTCGTGAACAAAAGTTTTTCTTTTACATATAGGTATTACTAATCCGTCATTTTGGTTGTTATTAAAATTGGTGGAGCATAAATTATAACCATTAATTTTAGGTAAGTTATCCTTATCAAGTAGCCAGCATTCACTTAGTACAATAACATCAAAAACTAGATTTTGATAATATAAGAAAAATATACTAGTACGTTAAAAAAATACTCAACCTAATGCCTTTCTCATATTTTGTCGGTATTATCTATATTAGTAAATAGGATATGTCGTTGTTGTGAAATCGGCGCGCAGTGGCAACGCAAGGAAATCCACTACCTCATAACATCACGTGGATGTTGTAAGATATGACAGACGGAAATGAAATAAGAAATGGGCAGTAGAATTTTTCTGATAACAGCTCAAAAATTATAAAAAAAACTACGGTTGCCAACCCGTCTGTGAATCGTGGCATTTTTGAAAAATATCCTCACTATGAAGTAGAGGTTTACCTTTGCGTTCCGCTTGGTGAGTGCAGGTGGCCGGAGGCCCATTCCCCCCCCCCCCCTTCCCCACATCAATATACTGCTCATCATAATACTGCTCGGGGCAAGCGGAGCAATAAGACCAAGGCGACCCCCTTCACGCTATCCGTGAATTTTTGCAATATCAGGGGACTTCATTCCAACTTTAACGCTGTCCATTACCATCTAGAGACGGCGAAGCCGGCCTTGCTCTTTTTAACCGAGACTTAGGTGTCCTCTCCGGCTGATATTTCATATCTCTCCTACCCGGGGTACAAATTTGAACACTCCTTTGTGCCCCGGGCTGGAGTTTGCGTATACGTCAGAGAGGACATTTGTTTTCGACGCCACGGCAGTCTTGAAGGTACGGCTATGTCCACCTTATGGGTGGGCGTAGACAGCGACGACCATCCCCGCGTCTACGGGAGCCTCTATAAGTCCCATAGCGGTAGGGCCGACACAGACCGACTCATCGACCACGTCCAAATGGCTACAGACTCCGTGCTACAACAGGTCCCATCCGCAGAGATCGTGATACACGGTGATTTCAATGCCCACCACGCTAAATGGCTTGGTTCCCGTTTAACCGATCATGCGAGTAGATCTGTGTATGACTTTGCCTTGGCATATGGTCGAACACAACTGGTTACTTCGCCTACGCGGATCCCACATATGGAGGATCATGTACCTTACCTTTTTTTTATAGGATCGGGTGACAAACGAGCACACAGTCCACCTGATGGTAAGTGGTTACTGTGACCCATAGAAATCTACATCTATCCTCAATAAAGACTCAAGATGCAGATGCGTTGTCACCCGTGAGGACTAAGATGGAATGCCTCTTTGCCAGTAAAAAGAGTCTCCGGTTCTCTACACTCACCATACGAAACACAGCAGCGTTAAGCTGCTATTTTACGCTGGTTTTCTGTGAGAGCGTGGTCCTTCCCCGGTCAAGCCGACCCATTCGTGCTACAACCATAATATAGCTGCAGCATGGCTCTACCACGTATATGAAAAGTTACCTGTTGGACCTT